GGACGGCAGATGGTCTTTTGGCCTGCTGGCTGATCTTTCCCAAAGCAGAGCTTTTTGCCAGAGGTGTGGCCTTTACCTAGGCTTGGTCTTTAAGAAGGGAGGTGGGGGGACAAAAAGAGGGAAGTCCCAGGCTGACCCCAGGTGACTCCCAGACTTCTCGCTCAGGTTGTACCTTTTCTTGAAGCTCAGGGTGTGGGGGTCACATCATGAAAAGCCCCCCATCTCACTGGTGGGTGGGTCCAGTTACCTCTGTCCAATCCTGGGTCACTTTCATGTTGGGAATTGATCTAGAAATAGATAAACATATGGAAGTATCCCCTTCCCCTTCAGCAGGCCTTGAGAACTATTTCTTGATAATCAGGTAGCATTCAAGTATAGGTTGTTTTAGGTTTCCACAGTGGCGACTGTATTCAGAACAAAAGCTCCTATTTGGGGGCATTGTGGAACGAAGACACTTCAGTTCTGAGTTTCCTCACCTGTTTAAAAAGATGAGTTACAGCAGGACATCACTGGGCCAGGGATATAGCTCAGTGGCACAGTGCCTGCCTGGCAAGCGTGAGGTTGTGAGTTTGATTCCTGGTACCAAAAAAAAAAAAAAAAGGCATCACCACCATCCCTAACTTTGCTTCTGCCTTCAAAGTTGGAAGAGTGTATGGTCGCTGCAGTTTATTATCCCAAGCTCTTAAATTGTTTCCAGTAAAACTTGAGCAAAATACAACCCTTTAATGATACATAAAAAAACTATATAGAGTACCTCTTTATTAAAGTGTATGTTGTATACATTCACAGACCCATCTATGTTTAGATATGGATATATGTGTGTATATATATGTGTGGAATCTTATTTTATTGTTGTAATTCTTTTTTTTTTTTTTTTGGTACCAGGAATCAAACTCTGCACCTTGTGTTTTCCACGCAGGCACTATGCCACTGAGCTATCTTCCTGGCCCTATTGTTGTAATTCATAGAAGTAAAAACATGACAATATTTATACCAAATCACAAGTAGAGGAAAACGAGTTCTGAGGGTCTTTTTTCCAGCTGCCTGACACTGACTGTAGAGAGTTCCACCCCCTGTTCTAGTACTGCTTGTCAGTGAATTCTGTATTGTGTGGAGCAAGGTATACAGACTGTGCCTTGTTGAACTTCAGAGCTTTATAGGGGTTCTCTGAAATCCAAGAAACTTTTTAAACTGTGCTGACACAGTTGGGGAGCCCTATAGACTCAGATTTGCATGGCTTGCGCAGTCTGTTGACGCTTGAGGATACTCATTTCTGTCTCCCCCTGTCATCTGAACACTCACAGTGGTCTTAGGTCCCACAAGCATATTTTTATCCTTGTGCTGATAGGTTAATTGCTCTGTGGGATTAGGTGGTTCTCCTGCCTCATCTACCTTGGCGTAGACTATGCCATGGTCACAGGACAAGCTGTGTATCAGAACTCTCCCTAACACTGTGCAACCAGAAGAGACGGCAACAGGGATAAAGCTGAAGTTGGTGTTCCCAATCGCCCCCCCTCCCCCTGCCGTCAGATTTTCAGGTTCATGCAGATAGTTTAATTGTGTTCCATGATAGATTTTTATCATAAGAATATATTATACATGGAGCTTCTTAGAAACATTTGGAAGCCACAGATGTAGTGATAAGGGCACAGATTTTAGAGGCAGACAGCTTGGATTTGAGCCCTGTTTCCTGTTCTTTTCTAATTACATGGCCTTGGACAAGGTGTCTCTAAGCCACAGGTGTCTCATCTATAAAATGGGCCTGCTCTGCAGCAGGCCAGATGTGTTTAAAGAGTATAGATAAGTATACAAATGGGCCTAGTCCAGAGCCTCACATAGGACAAAATGTTCAGTTGTTGGCGTGTGGGGAATTAGTCACTGTATTTCATGTTTGGCCGTTAAGAATATAGATAATTGTGTGTGCATATTTACTTACATACATCCAAACGTAGCATCTGTCTACCAGGGAAATATATTTTCTCATAATTTAGAGATGTTTTAGCAGATTGTAGTGACAACATTTCTCTTTCTGATACATATTTGTGGCAAATTAAATTTTTTTTTTCATTTGTAAAATGTGTGGAGCCTTAACAGAGTAATTTCTTGTATTCTAGTTTCTTCTAATGGGAAAAAAAAAATCTAACAGCTAATGGGAATTGCCTTTGTGCATCGAGACTCCAAAATGCTGCTTTGTTTTTGTGGACAGACTCTTTGTGGGTGGACTGCAGAGATTCTTGCTGTTGGAAATGTTTTTAAGCCCCTGGGAAACTGAGTAGGGAAAAAAGAGCTAATTAAAAAAGCTGCCATCCGCCTCCTCTAATTAACTCGCTCTCTGCTCCTGGGAGAGGGCACGGGAATACGAAAACAAGGCAGGCAGCGCCGGAAGTGAATGCCATTCTGTGGTCCACAGTGGTCCCTGCTGTTTTGAGGCAGAGACAGTTCGCAGTAAACAGGCAAGGAAGCACAAAGGGGCTTGGTGTGCTGGGCCCCTCACCCGGCACGCCACCTCCCACGCAGGCGGGGTGAACAGTGGCCTCCTGGAGCAGGTGTACATCCCGGCAGCTGCAGCAGCAGAGACCTCATTGGAATTCAGCAGCTAGAACCCAAGAGCATCTGGCCCTCCCCAACCATGTGCTATTGAGAAAGACCAGGGCCCTTTGTGCTCCAAAGCCACGTGTTGTCAGTGCCCAGGGATGCAAAAGCCAGGGATACAAGCATTCGATCCCTCTCCTTGTATCTCAGCCTAAGCCGGGCAGCCTGGGGCTTCTTCACTTCCGGCGCTGCCTGCGCTGCACCCTGGAGAAGACGCTCATAACATTTATGGCTGGTGATGCAGCCTTCTTTGGTTACAATGGAAAAGATTTATACCTGAGATCCCAGTGAGGGGACTAGGGGTAGGGATTTGGGGGACAGAGGCTGTTCTTCAGTGGAGATGGCTTTTGGCTCCTGGCCAGTGTGGTCCCCCGTGGAATGGGGCCGGTGGCTATGGACAGCGGTGACCAGCAGTGGGACCTCCAGGCTGCTCTCCCTTCAAGAAAGCACCGGAAAGAGGCAAGTTGGCTTTGTGCGTCTTATAATCATTGCTCCTGAAGCTGTGGGCCAGGGTGAGAAATGAGTCCCAGGGCTGTATCCTGGGCTCACCAAAGTGATCTGGGCTCAGCTCTGTGATCTCCTTGCGTCTTCCCTATCTGTAAACAGGCTGCAAAACTTTAGGTACCTAGATCTGTTGTTGTACCTAGATCCATCCAAGCATGGATGAATTAAAAACTGTTCCTGTAAACAAAAGCTTAAGCTCGTTAGTATTAATGTATGTGTGAAGAGTCGGTTCCTCCCCTGTTGTGTTTGCATGAATTAAGTATTTGCTCGTGAAATTTAATACTATGCTGTCTTGGGCTCGTTGGCTGCCATCAAAAGGAGCTCTGATGTTTCTGCCGATTTCTTCGGGTCTCTGGAGGGCTCTGTGGCTGACGGGAGAAGCCAAGGTCCTTGAGGATTGTGTGGTGATGAGCTTTGGCACTGATCAAATGAATTGCCCACAAAAAAGTTGTAAAAACAGTATCGATATAGATTTTCTACAGGAAACTTGGCAAATAGCTACTTTTTCTGCTCCTGGCAGATAGTGGAGGGATTGGCTTGGTTCATGGTGCTCTCTGTCGGATGGCTGCTGGTCTTCAGAAGACAGTGACCTGTACGAAGGTTGCTGGGCCTTTGCCCCTATAGGAACTCAGCAGAATGAGCATCTCTCAGCTTTAGGTGATGCGACAGTGACATGTGTACAGCCCTGCACAGTCCATCACTTTATTCTCTGTCTTACCTGGAGTGTCATCTTCTGATTCCAGTCTTCACTGGGTTGGCCTGCTGAGCTGATTTGTGCCATCTGAAATTCTAAATATCCACCCATTTGGTGGTTGACCCTCCTGATTGCAGATGAGTCGATTGGTACTTGGGTCTGTTTAAATCATTTCGAGATGGGAACCAGCTTGCTACTGCTGCTCCCTTCCAGCTTCCTCTGCAGGTAAGGATGGGCCCTGGCTCCAATGGCATCTTTTTTTTTTTTTTTTGGTACTAGGAATCGAACTCAGGACCTTGCACTTGCTAAGCAGGCGCTTGTGCCACTGAGCTATATTCCCAGCCCTCCAATGGCATCTTGAGCCATGGGGCAGCTGCCTTCTGGCCTTGGGCACACAATGGTGCGTGACTGGAAGAGCCTCATCCTCCTGGCTTACGAGCAGCCAATGGAAGCAGGTTGGGGAGAAAGGCTGCCTGTAGCCCAGGGCAGGGTTTTTGCCACTTTTACTTACAACTGTGGAGAGCTTCCTTGCATATAGCTATTCCTGCAGACCAATGAGGGTCATTTTCATAACGGTGTGATTGGCAGACGTACTCTGTGACTTGTCCAGCACAGCCTCCACTGGCTGGCTTTTATTCATTCATTTATTTATCCACTACCTCCTGGGTTAGGCTCGGAGATGGTGTAATAAGCAAGGCTGGCGGCCCTCCTGGCATTTTCAATCCAGTGGAGGAGAAAGAAGTAGGATTATGAAGTGAATGAATCTGTGCTAACAATTTAAGAGAAATGCTGGGAAGGCAGGGAAGTGGAGAAAATGGTGGGGTGAAGGGGGAAGAGGGCAAGTGGAGATGTAATTTCATAAGGTAGAGATTCTAGGTGGTGTCAGGCACATAGACTACCTCTGTATTTGTTTGACTGAATTGATGAAGTAGTGGGTATCAAAGTTCCTTGTATGTATTTGCCACTAAGGTGAGAAGTGTGTGTTTTGAGTAGAGGTGAGTTTAAAGAATATGCCATTTGGATACAATCAAGGGTAGAGGTAAGATTCAGCTTTGGGAATTACGCCACCAGATGATTTTTCTGAAGTGTTACCATAAACAGTTGAATCAGCCAAGGAGCCCGAGTCCTCCGTCCCTGGGTCAGAGCCCTGCCTTGCTTAGAATTGAGCCTTGGTCCCGTCTAACCTGTGTTTCTCTTCTCTCTTCACCAGGAGTTCGGACTCTGAAGAAGCATTTGAGACCCCAGAGTCAACAACCCCTGTTAAAGCTCCACCGGCCCCACCCCCACCGCCCCCTGAAGTTATCCCAGAACCTGAGGTCAGCACGCCACCAGCCCCAGAAGAACCAGGTAACCAAGGGCCAGGAGCCCAGAGGAGAGTACAGTGCCTCTTCCTGGAGCTCTGCTTGAGGCAGAGAGCCACCCCAGAGGACAGAGAGCTGGCTGCAGCCACGGGGTCCCTTGGGTGTGGGCTGTGTTTCATATATTTTGTGGCTATTCAGGAAACACAGAGTAGCTTGTGGTGGGTGTGTTTTTCAGAAGTTTATCTACTCCTTTTGCTCTGGGGGCCTTTCACTTTAATCCTCGGATGGGTCTGATGAGTGTGTAACTGGGCAAGGAGGATTCCACCAGGGACTTAGGTTCTGTATTTGACACCTTGCTCCCACAGGAATGCTGGTTTGGGACAGCTCGTGTGACTCTATCCTTGTATTCCAAGAACATAGCTCCTGCAGGCCCCAGGAGCCCAGACAGTCAGAGAAGAGAGAGTCGCATGCGTCCCTGCTGATTGATTCCCTCATTACTCTTACGTTAACTGTTTTTTGTTTTTAATCACTTTTCTACATCCTTCCTCTTCTTGTATTATTTAAAATACCTTTAGGTGCTGTGTGGGTATGGTGAAACCCTGGGGTGTGAAGCAAATCTTCTCCCGCTCTGCATCCCCCAGTTATGTCAGGGGTTTGGGGATGGGACTGCTTCTGGTAGAAAGCCTGATACGAGGGGCTGGGGATATAGTTCAGTAGCACGGTGCCTGCCTGGCAAGCGCAAGGTCTTGAGTTTGATTCCTGGTACAAAAAAAAAAAAGGCTGATATGAGGCCTAGGAAGAGATGCAGGCTGCCAGAAATGGTCCTGCAGGCTGCTCAGAAGCAGGTATTGCTGTCCTTAGACCTGGACAGATTGGGGCCCACATTTTAGAGGACCTTGCTCTGATCTTCCGCCCATATAACAAGACTGCAGATCCAGCTCCCTCTAGGCCATGCACTGAATGCCTTCAAGTAGCCCCTTGCGAGGGCCGTCTCATTCCCAATGTTGGCGCATCGGTCTGGGGGTGCTGTGCTTGCAGAGGAACCAAGGATGGGGCCAGAACCTGCAGGCCTGGTTGTCCGCAGCCTGGCTGGAGGCATCTTGAGGTGAGGGATGAGTTGGCAGTGGGAGACGCAGATGGAAGGCGGGACTCCATTCGTCTACTCGCCCTGGCCAGGAGCTGGGCAGGCTGTAAAATATAATAACATTTTGGCCTTGATACTAGTTTTAAGGAAAAAAATGAATGGAATTCATTTTCTGTGCCCTGTGTTTGAGCAGGCGAATGATTGAAAAAGGATATATATGTCCGCGCTTTGTTCCTAAGCAGATAGCGCTCCCCTGTGCCAGGAAAGGGGGGCAAGGCATTTTCATCAGAGTAGATGCATTCGCTGGCGTCTGGCACATGGAGTTTTCTTATTCTGCCTTCTGACAGCTCATCCGTCAGCAGCGGAATCTGGAGAATGCTGAGTCAGTGTCGAGGCTGGGCTCTGAGAGGATAGTGATTATCTTGATTATCTGATTCTATGGTGGAGAAGAGCCAGCAAGGCTGCTTACAATTCTTAGAGAGCCATTTTCATTCCTTCCTTTATTTCATATAATAACACTCATTAAAAACGTATTTCCCATACTACTTTTACAAATTTGCCCACAATTTTTAATGGAAAGCAGCTAGATAACAGACACATGGTAATCCTGAAGTCAGACATGTGATTAAGGCATGTGTAGGGGATGTAGGATTTTCCCTGTCAAATGCCCTAACTGCTCTTGGGAATGGTTTCCTACTTCTCTTTGTTGCTGTTTTTCATCTTTGTGCCTGACTTCCTCTTCAACAGAACAGAGAACAGTTTCTGTTCTTAAACACGCACACAGTGCCCATCTCTTTTCTTAGGGTGGTGGTTAATAAAAGAATGGGCATCATAGAGGCTTAAAGGATAACTCCCACCAGGGAAAGGGTTGGGGATGGTGATTGCCACTGAGTCACCCTCCCTTACAGCCTTTGGTTGCAGCCATTGGAGTCTTTGAATGGGGAAGACAAGGACTTCACATTTCTCCTTGAAAAATTGCAGTGTGAGGATTATACAATAAAAAGATGTAAGGTTGGAATTGTGTTTATTCAAAGCCCCTCTGGAGTGCCATGTGTGAAAGTATACGTGATTTGCTGCCCTTGTTAGAAACTGCCTCCCAGAAGTAGTTTTTGCAGATCCACATGGGACATTGCAAAGGCGTGAGGAGGCAGCTGCCCTTGCTTATGTATGGGGCCGTAGGAAAGGAAGGGTTTGTTCTGAGAACCATGGGAAAGAAAGGGCAGGAGAGGAAATCTACTGTTTATTTTTCCTCTGCAGAGTGCTTGGAACATTACTAAAGTTGCTGAAGGAACCACATGAAATAACAGATAAGAACTTTGGCTGTGAATAAAGACATTTTTCCTCCTGGAACCCTACACTTTATGTGAAACAATCACTCACCGTGTGCTGTCATCAGTTTGTGCTCCCTGGGACAAAAGGACAGATGCTGACTGCTTATCTTGCACCTGCCCCCTTCTGAGGTGGGCCAGGGTTCAGCTCACCACAGCCCAGTTTTATCTGTAAATGAAGAGAATGACTTGGGAGTTCTCTTCCCTCTGACCTCCATGGTCCTGTGAGTGGCACACTTAAGTATTATGGAGTGACTGTTACTACAACTCAAAGCTGGCCTCTAGGGGACATAGTTCAGTGTCACAGGGTTTTATAATAGCTCCTATTTATGCCTCTGTCTCTGTCAGGCCAGTGCCAGA